TTATATGCAACTTCTGTCACCTGATCATTAACTTGAATAGGTGACAGCTGCCGCTTTTAAACGCCAGATTAGGGATTTCTGATGCAGGAAACGCATGTTCCTGATGCAGGAATCCATAATTGCACCTAAAGATACAGGTGTGAATGGAGCCTAATACACTTATACTCTTTCTACCCCACCCCCCCCTCACATAAAAAAAACAAAAACCTATCCCTGCACATAAAATAATACACCCCCCATACACATGAGAAAAATAACCCCACAGTAAATATATATATATAAAATTCACAGTCCACAATATAATTCCCAGTCCCCTCAAACACCCCACACATATAACAATATAATTCCCAGTCTTTCCCCAGCCCCTCCGTGACCGCGTACCAGACTTGTGGGCTGTCTGCGGGCCACATAGTACTGGCTCACGGGCATTGTATATAATGTTGCAGTCCTTTGCAAATATCCTTTGTTCCTGAACCAGCATTGCTTCTCATTGACCTGCTTTGGTAGCCTCCATTGGTGAATGAGAGCCTCGGCTCTGTCAGGAAACAACTTACACTGCGTGCAAAGCATTAGCTTATGCCTTGGTGATACAATATGTTTTTTTTCCTGTCATTAGAGACCTAAAGGGTGTTTTTATAAGCAATCCGCAGAGCCTTTCACCCTGCAAATCTCTGTGAACATTTATTCGGTGCAAATGGGGACAAAAGTGAACGTTCTCAGTACATGTCTGCCAAGGTATATCTGTAAAGAATAAGTCAAGGCAACTGGCCTTTCTGCATTTTTCTTGAAGACATTTCACTGGTCATCCCACCAGCTTTCTCAATTCAGAATTAATCATTCTGAATTGAGAAAGCTGGTGGGATGACCAGTGAAACATCTTCAAGAAAAATACAGCAAGTCCAGTTGCCTTGACTTATTCTTTACAGATTTCTCAGTATAGTTTATTTTCAGGTTGAATGTAATGTAATACAGCATTATGGCCACTAGATGGAACTGATGAGCATAGGAAATAAATACTAATTCAAATACAAAGCCTACAAAAGTAGTTAAAAGTAATAAATACATTTCACTGTATAACTGGTCATCAGCGATATAATAATTTAAATACAGTTTCAGAATTTTTTTTTAGTTTAAATGTTGAATTTTCAAGCTTCACTAGAGTGCCCATCTGTAGGTGTCTCTCAGCTTTAGACGGCCTCGGGAAATCTTTCAGACGTACAACATCTATGCAAAGAAGACACCCAAACATACAAGAAGCTAAAGAACAATAACTACCATAACAGTAACTTGCTTTTCTGCTATTCTTAACCTTTGTAGATCAAGCTGATGATCAAGAAATACATATCAAGACAAGAGACCATCAATTTGGCTGTGGTCCCTTGTAATGTAGATGTTGCAACAACTGAGGCTCTGGAAATGGCCCGAGAAGTGGATCCTACCGGAAACCGCACTATAGGTAGGTGGCAGTTTTATCCTTTTTGTTGAAATGCCAGATATAGAGGTGTCAGGATCAGGTGCGTAACTAGAAATCCCAGGGCCCCATAGAAAAATTTTGTATGGGTTCTCCCCAACCATGCCGAAACACCCCCACACCCCACAAGTTTCGTCAACCCTGTGTGAGTGTTCACACCAGGGCGGTTCAGTCGCGCGGATATCTTACGCCGACATAAACAATCCTATACATTCTTATGGGGACTGTACATGCAATCGTGTGGCTCCACGCGATCTGAACCACCTGCCGCACACAAAATGCTCTCTGAGCTACTTTTTTCACACTGATCAGCACGTTTTCCATATGGATTTCAATTGAAATGCGTTGATGAGCAAGTTTTTGAGAGTTTTTAATTGCGTTCAGCGCTGAAACGCGACTAAAAACGCACAAAACACTCTTTCAAAAGTCGCACAGAAACCACGGTGAAACGCTTCCGCACCTGGTGTGATTGGGGCTTGAATGAGGCCTAACACTTGACTTAAATACTGCCACACCAATGAAGGCTGCAGAAAGGGGGATTATAGTTTGTAAGCCCACTTTCCCCAGGTGCACTGGTGTGACAGTAATATTTTACATTATAATTAAACTGCCACACCAAAGGAGGATCACACAGAGCGATATCATCCACTTTCCCCAGTTAGTATGGTGTGGCAGTGTAAATATAACTTAAAGGAGAACTATGAGGGGCGTGCTTTCCACTCACCTCATAGTTCTAGCCGACCTGTGACAATGAGACTGTCACAGGTCGGCTCAGTAGATCGGGAAGTGAGGGAACACATACCGCTGTTTGCTCACTTCTCTATCCTGTCACGGCTCTCTGCCGTGACAGGGGAGGGACTGGATTCCCCCCTCCCCGCTCCGATCTGCCAGCGCTGACTGGCGGAACGGATGGGGGAGGGGCGGGTACAGCTGGCTCTGCCTCTAGATAGGCAGAGCCAGCTGTCACTCACGCAGCTGGACAGATCTCGACATCGATGTCGGGATCCGCTCCGGCTGCGGCGTCTCAGTATACCGCGAGCTGTAGCTCCCTATATACTGAGCTTAGGGTAACGGGAGGACGCTAGTTTGTGTCCTCCCGTTACCCCAAGGAGAACTATGGGGAAAAACACTGACCCCATAGTTCTCCTTTAACCCTTTCGCTGACAAGCCCTCCGAAACATTTTGCACCTCAGCTGCGATTTTTCCCATTGATTTGATTTTCAACTGCTGCGTTGCTAGCGTTTGTAAAAAGACCCCCCAAACCATATATTTTCTGAAAGCGCAGGCCCAGTGGAATAAATAGATCGAGCTACTAAATTTGTAGGCCCTGCGATAATTGCGCAAATGTTTCTCAAATTCATATTAAACCGATAAAAATACATGATTCAATTGATAAAGCACTAAATTCAGTATCAGTGTACAAAATAAATTACTTTCTCACCAAATCTAAAAGATAAAACTGTATTGAGTTAATAAATATCAAATATTTGCAAATTTGAAATTGCGCCTTTTCGCGAAAAAGGTAAAAAAAATTAAGGAACGCAAAACTGTAAATAAGCGATTTATGTTATAAATGTTTTTTGCGCTGTGTTGGTGTTGTGATAAAATGATACAGGCGTATATTTAATTGGAACACAAGGTATCACAACGCATGGCAATGTGTCACAAAGCTTTGCCATGCGCTGCCACAGTTAAATTAATGTTTTTTTACAAAAGAAAAAATCATGCACTGCGAAGCGTTCTAACACCGCAATGCAGTGCATGTAACATAGAGTACACCACAATATGGTGCACGTGTATGTTATATATGTGTGGGGGAGGGTGGTTTGAGCTTTCTTTTTATTAGTTAATTTTTTTACACTTTTATTTATTTTTGTAACTGTTGGGGGGACTTCGGGGAAATATTAGGGGTCTAAACAGACCCCTGACATTTCCCTTTTGAAATAGAAAGAAATTGAGGACACAGATTCCTCAATTTTTTTTTCTGCAGCCTCAGCACACAATGAATGGAGACCACTCAGTACAGAGGCTTCCCATTAATTCAGAAATTGTTGATAGTAAAAATATTTACTATCAACAGTTTCTGAATGCAGAGAAGCCTCTGTACTGAGTGCTTCTCCCTATTGAGAAATTCATGAATGAACAGGAAGTGATGTAAATCACATCCTGTTCATTCATAACTGGGGACACATAGTACTATGTGTCTCCATTTATTTACAAACACTGAAGTGATCAGTTCATCACTCCAGTGTTTGTCCTTCACACAGAGGATCGGTAAATATCTGCTAGGTTACGCACAGAGTAGCTGTCATCCTGAAACTGACAGGATGACAGCGGCTCCGCTCTCCTCCCCAACCGCCGCTCAATCATGCCGCTCGATCCTAGTGATCGAGCGGCTCGCTCCTCCGCCCCCTCGCCGGCCATTTGTCCTGGGCCCCATAGCGGGTGGTAGTTCCGCCACTGGTCAAGATCATGGAGCTCTACATCTGCTTTGCTTTGAGAGCCATTAGCTAAGCAGTAAATCCCTATACGGGAAGCGGAGGTGATTTTACACACATATGGAACGCCTGTCTGCCCGCCATGCGCTACAGGCACACAATGGTCTGCAGGCTGTGTCCTAGCACACATGTACTTTCATTCTTTCAGTTATCTGTCTGCCTTCACAGGAATTCTGACCAAACCTGACTTGATTGACAGAGGAACAGAAATGCAACTTTTGCGCACAGTCCAGAATCAGGTGTATCCTCTTACGAAGGGCTACATGACTGTGAAGTGTCGGGCACAGTTAGAAATCCAGGAAAACATTTCCCTGCAAGAAGCACTAGAAAATGAAAAAGCGTTCTTTGAAAACCATCAGCACTTCAGGTGAAGTTTATGATGATGTCTACTACCTTTTACTTGATATGCAATTCCACTTTCTCTTCAGTTCATTGAAGGACACAGCAAAGATCTTAGATCTGAACCACTGGGTTATGGTGCCACCTGCAGGAATACAATGCTGGGTCCAAAACACACACTCTACTCTGCTGTGGAACCGCTGTGAGTGTGACAGCCGCCTTCTCTGTGTGATTTTGATGAACAGAGCACCCCACTGTCATGGAGCTTCAGTGATTACACTGGGAGAGCAGCGTTCTCTCTGTGTAATCTGCAGGACTATCAGTCTAACAGCTCTGGTTTCCTTCTGCATTCATTTATGAATTAAAAAGAAGAACAAGATGTTTGAGATGCCCAATCACTTAGCAGGAACCAGGGACACAGTAAAAGGAGAGTCATGAGACTCTACAGAGAGTGTGTGATGATTGACATCTGTCACCCACCGCTGGGCTCTCCTGAAAGAATCCAAGATGAGTCCCTAGATGAAATGATTATGAGAACCTTTGTCCCACCATTACCAACAGTGTTTGCATGATCTGCGGGATAAGCTCCTGATATATAAATAATGAACAGCAATAGATATAATATCCTCCATGCTGAATACTTTAAATCGTTTTTTTTTTACTTTGGACTAACTTTATTTTATTTATAGAGCTCTTTTAGAAGATGGACTGGCTACAATCCCCAACCTGGCGGAAAGACTCACCAAAGAACTTGTGATTCATATTGCGGTAAGTAGACACGAGCTATTTCTGCTCTATCGATCTGCCAAATACTGCCCTGCCATCCATTTTGTGGAGTCAGATATTTATTGGCAGAATATACACTCACCGGCCACTTTATTAGGTACACCTTGCTAGTACCAGGTTGGACCCCCTTTTCCCTTCAGTTTCCCTTTCCCTTCATTCTTTGTGATGTAGATTCAACAAGGTGTTGGAAACATTCCTCAGAGATTTTGGTCCATATAAGTGGGCCAAGAAAATATCCCCCACACCATTACACTACCACCACCAGCCTGAACCGTTGATACAAGGCAGGAAGGATCCATGCTTTCATGTTGTTTACACCAAATTCTGACCCGACCATCTGAATGTCGCAGCTGAAATGGAGACTCATCAGACCAGGCAACGTTTTTCCAATCTTCTATTGTCCAATTTTGGTGAGTGTGTGTGCGAATTGTAGCCTCAGTTTCCTATTCTTAGCTGACAGAAGTGGCACCCGGTGTGGTCTTCTGCTGCTGTAGCCCATCTGCTTCAAGGTTCGATGTGTTGTGCGTTCAGAGATGGTATTCTGCATAGCTCGGATGTAACGAGTGGTTATTTGACTTACTGTTGCCTTTCGATCATCTCAAACCAGTCTGCCCATTCTCCTCTGACATCAACAAGGCATTTCCGTCCACACAACTGCCGCTCACTGGATATTTTCTCTTTTTCGGACCATTCTCTGTAAACCCGAGAGATGGTTGTGTGTGAAAATCCCAGAAGATCAGCAGTTTATGAAATACTCAGACCAGCCCGTCTGGCAGCAACAACCATGCCACGTTCAAAGTCACTGAAATCCCCTTTCTTCCCCATTCTGATGCTCGGCTTGAACTGAAGCAAGTCCTCTTTACCACATCTAGATGCCTAAATGCATTGAGTTGCTGCCATTTGATTGGCTGATAAGCAATTGGTACAGGTGTACCTAATAAACTGGCCGGCGGGTGTAAATCACCCTACTGTTTGGTTAGCAGATATTTCTCCAAATGGTTACACCATCGCTTAAAGCACTTCTCATTACTCAAATAAACCTTCCTGCACATAAAACATCAAAATAGTAATGTATATATAGAATATTACATGCCTAGGTACAACCCATGGGGAGTCCCTTGCAGCCACCTACCCAATATCACTTTCAAGGCTACCAAAATTGAAAGTACTTTGAAATCCTGATCAGAATATTGAATTTAAAAACCATTTTGTTGTTGTTGAGTTCAATTCCTGATCCACCCTGCTAATTTATGACTTCCTAATCTTAACACACTCATATATACCATATGGTTTAGGTCTGGGAGTGGCTGTTATCCCTTTTATTATACAGGTGAAACTCGAATAATTAGAATATCGTGCAAAAGTAATTGCAGTAAGTGCTGCAAAAGGGGCCCAAACCAAGTACTGAGTACATATGCATGCTTGTACTTTTCAGAGGTCCGATATTGTTCTATGTCCAATCCTTGTTTTATTGATTGCATGTAATATTCTCATTTTCTGAGATTGTGGATTTGGGGTTTTCATGAGCTGTAAGCCATAATCATCACAATTATGACAAATCACGGCTTGAATGATCTCGCTTGGCATGTAATGAGTCTATCTCATATATTAGTTTCACCTTTTAAGTTGCATTAGTGAAATAAATGAACTTTGCACGAAATTCTAATTATTTGAGTTTCACCTGTATATCCTGTTATACTTTTCAACAAAAATATACATTCTTTTTATAATTTTGAAATAGACTTATCTTAAATCAATGCTTATCATGGTCTTACAGGACCCAATATACCCACCTGACACCAAAGCTGGCCATAAACTAGTACAATTTTGTACAACAGCAAAAAAAAAAAAGCAGCAGGATTTTTGACTTATCAGGTTATTGGACACTGGCCAGAGCCATGAGCTCATATACCTCCTCCTGTGATATCAGTTTATAGAGGGAATAAATCATTGACATACCTTCTGTGCTGGGTGAGGCCTTCCCCAGCCCGCTGAAACTCTGACCCATCCCGATGAAGCCCCGCCCCAGCTCGGTAACCGAGCTATGTAGGGAGGAGGAAGGGAGGAGACAGGGAGGAGCCTCCCTGTCCCTCACCTGCTCGCCACTGGTCATCGAGATCAATGTCCTCACTGGTTTTTTTTTCTTCGTTTTTTTTTTTTGATTGGACAGCTTGGACCAATGGCGCTTTGCCATTGGTCTAAGCCTATACAGCTGTTGAAATCACTTGTATGCTGCCTGCTTGTGAGTTGTCTGGCCCCCTCCGTGGTCCGCCCCCCTCCCTGTCAGCTGCCTTCTTCTGTGCTGTGGTTTTCAGGGCCCCCTGTTCTTCTGGTGGGCCCCTGCCCCCACGGCAAGGCAGTTTAGGATTGAGAGCGGGAAGCAGAGCGGAGAACCTCTGTTCTCTGCTCTGCGATCAGTGACACGGGACCGCTGTACTCGCAGTGCTCCTGTGTCAGCTGTCACAGCCTGAGTTGTACAGAAGATAGAGCACGAGTGCTCTATCTTCTGTATTGGAGGGCAGGCTCATAAAGAGAGCCTGTCATCTCCAAATGCTATCACACAGGGGATTGTTAGCCCCTGTGTGATAGCAACAAAGTTAAGTGAAAAAAAGTAAAAAAGAATAAAACAAATAAAAATGGGAAGAAACAATGGTAAAAAATAAAACTGTGATAAAAAGTAAAAAAAAAAAAAAGATTAATAATAAATAATCCGCACAGGCCAACCTGTATGGGGCCCCATGATTTCAACTGGTGGCCCTGTCTCCTGGGACTACACACATGTACTACCCCGGTAACTGCCAAGGCGCTGACATTTTTTTTATGGGGGGATGGAGTGGGGGGCCGTTCATGGTTTCTTGCACTGGGGCCCTGAGGTTGCTAGTTATGCCTCTGATCAGATGGTACCTTAAGGCATCTTGTGTGGCGCCGCACCAAGCTTCATAGACATTGGGAAGGTATAATTCAGACTATAAATAGAGTGTACTCAGTAATGATACCAGTGGATCCTCAATTATGTCTTTTGGGTATCTTGTCTGGGAACTCATTTGCAGGTTTCCTAAAACTCCCTATTACTAAGCTTTTGTTTCTAGCTAGAAAATCGATAGCACAGACGTGGATATCACCTAACCCGCCTACACTTTCACAATGGACACAAATGGTCAATATGACCCTGGAAAGAGAACGGTTAACATACTGCCACAGGGGGTGTCCTATTACATTTGATAAAATGATGGAATAGATGGTTTTCATTTGAGGATCAATGTGTTCTTAAATCTTGGAAAAAAACTGTTTTTGTATCTTCTATAATAGGGAATGCTTTTTCACTATATATATATATATATATGATGTCAAAAAAGACAAAAACGCAGTATTGCAGTGTGCAATGATACCTTTCACTTTAAAAGTTATATCCACTGAATTCTCTCAATGATATGTACTTATGCACTCCTGCGCACTCCCTTTGTGATGCCACTGGTATTAAGGAACCACTGGCTGAGTATTCAGAATTCAAAACTTCCAGTCTGGAACTTTAAAGTAGAACTCTAGCCAAATGCTGTTTGTATGCTCAATGGGGAAATGTAATTTCAGTTTCCTGTTGCGTCACTAGGACAGGAAGTGAGGGTAATCTTTTTAATAGAGACACAGTCTACAGCAAACATTTACTTATAGGAGATCTATGAGGTGAGTGATTTCCACTCATCCGCATAGTTAGAGCCGACCTGTGACAAAGAAGCTGTCACAGGTCGGCTCTATCGATCGGGAAGTGAGCAGAAACATGCCGCCGATCCGCTCACTTCTCGATCGTCTCCCTGCAGTGAGCGGTGACTGTCGCTGCCCACAGGGATCCCCCCTCCCCTCTCCGATCCTCCAGCGCTGACTGGAGGAACGAGCAGGGGAGGGGGCGGGTACAGCTGGCAGAGCCAGCTGTCACTCACGCAGCTGGGTGGATCTCGACAGTAATAGCCCGCGATATACTGACTTTTGGACAGTAGAAAGGCATCATGGCACACTCACAAAACCAGCATGTAAAACAACTTGTCTCACCACTAAGGATAATGACAGAGGTTTGGATACACGTCTTCAGCCGAGGATGTGTAAGCCGCACTGCCGCGCCAAGGCACCTCTTTTAGGACCGCACTATCTCTAAACTATGAGAGTCTCCATCTTGGAGCACATGGGGGCAGAAGATATCAAATTGGGTGCAGGTTTGTCAGGAGGACGCCCAACCTCCTTAAAGGTGTGATCCCGCACATCCCATTGGCAGCTGAGAAACCCCATGCGTCGCTGCACCAAATCAGTCAAGCAAAACAAACGACAAACGCACTTGTGAGTGTGCCATGATGCCTTTCTGCTGTTTTACTGTTCAAAGCCCATTTCGTGTGCACCTTACTGTATAACTGGTAACAAATTGTTGAGTGCGTTTGTCGTTTGTTTTGCTATACTGACTTTTGGGTCACGGGAGGACGCTAGTATATGTTCTCCAGTTACCCTAAAGAAAACTATAGTTACCCCATAGTTCTCTTCTAATCCCTGTTGTCTCTCTAAACAAAGGGGTGGTGGGGGGATCTCCCCAGTAGAGAGGCTGGAGTTTTACTTTAATCTCTCTGTAATAAAGGGAGCACATGGATTCTCTATATATATCCTATAATATATATCCTCTATTCTCATATATTCTTCTATATATTTGGGGATAAAAAGATACCATTTCTATGTTTGTTTGTTTTCTTTAATTTTCCAGAGCAGATTATAGGTCTACGTAGGTATAGTATTCTTCTCCAACAATTCTCCTCTCCATTCCCAGTAAATACATATTACATTTTAATTTGTTGCAGAGAACATTGCCTAATATAATATGTCAGATCAATACTAAACTCCGTGAGGCAGAGGATAAACTGAATTTGATTGGTCGAGGTCTGCCTGATTCAGAAGATGACAAAATCCTCTTTCTTGTAAAGGTATGTGTGGATGAAACTACCTGTGGTAGCAACATAATAGACAACAGAGCACTGCATGCAACACTGATATACTATTTAAGCTGAAGCGATATCAGCCTCTTGCAGTCTCTATACAGCAAAGCTGAAGTGTGAGAGGAAGAAGCAGCAAAAGGGAGCCAATCACTTCAAATGCTGACAAGAAGCATGCTGATATAAGGAGAGGGCAGAGTGACAGAGGGATGAGCTCATCACTGTGCTGATTCTCCTTTCACTGTCCAGTCACAGGCTGGGGGCGGGTCCAGGATGGCCTGGGCTTAGAGTAAGTGGGTTTAATGATGCTGGCCATCAGACTGAGGATATCTAATGCCAGGAAGGGTTCCTTCTGAGGTTGCTAGGACTCCCTTGAGCTATGGCAGAGAAGGGGGCATTTTTCCCATTGACCACCAATGTAAACAGCTTTTTTTCCCCTTACCACCAATGTAAAGGGGCATTCTTCCTATTGACCACCAATGTAAAGAGCATTCTTCCCACTGACCACCAATGTTAGGGGCATTCTTCCTATTGACGACCAATGTAAAGAGCATTCTTCCCACTGGACACCAATGTAAGGAGCATTCTTCCCACTGGATACCAATGTAAGGGGCATTCTTCCCACTGGACACCAATGTAAGGAGCATTCTTCCCACTGGATACCAATGTAAGGGGCATTCTTCCCACTGGACACCAATGTAAGGAGCATTCTTCCCACTGGACACCAATGTAAGGGGCATTCTTTCGACTGGACACCAATGTAAGGGGCATTCTTTCCACTGACCACCAGGAGGCGGCCCTTCTCCCAATGACCACCAATGTAAAGAAGTCCTTTTTCTACTGACCACCAATTTAAGGGAGTTGGTCTCCACTGACCACCAATGTAAGGGAGCAATTTACTGACATTCAATATAAGTGGACACATCTCAAGTGACCACCTTACTATTTTCACTCCTGGATTTTACTTCTAGACATGGGTATTATTAGTGTTATCATATTATAGGTATGCGCCGATACCGTTTTTTCGGCATCGAGTACCAATATTTCTCTTTCGGCACTTGCTGATAGCATGTACCGATACCGGTACTTCCGCTCGCATGGAGCTGGCTTCCCGGGGAATCAGAAAGCCGGGCGGCGTGTCATTACCTGAAATGAAACCAAAATCCACATTAAGTCCTTCCTTTATGGTGTTGAAATGTCTAATCATTTCCATCTCAAATGTTTTCCTTTCATGGGAGTCTTTAAAATTCACTTTGAGTACTTTAATTTTGAGGTTTTGGATGGAGTGATCTTTCTGGGAGAAGTGATGTCCTGCTGGGGAGCAATTTTTGTTTTCTTCGTGTTTATTGATCGAGCTTCTATGTATCCCCTCTTCTTTGTCCCTCTCTCCCCCCTCTTTCTCCCCCCCCCCTTCTCTTCTTCTCTCTGTCCGTCTCTTTCTCTCTTCTTCTTTTCCCCATCTCTCTCTCCTTTCTCCCTCTCTCTCTTCATTCTCTACCTCACTCTGTATCCTCTCCCTAACCTCCCTCTTTCTAGCTCTCCTCTCTCTTCCCCTTTTCGCTTCTCTCTTCTTCTTTTCCCCATCTCTCTCTCACTCTCCTTTCTCCCTCTCTTTCTCTCCCCCTTCCACCCTCTCACTCCCCATTCTCTCCCCCTTCCAATCTCTCTCTCCCCAGTCTCTATCTCACTCTCTCTACTGTATCCTCTCCCCAACCTTTCTTTCCCTCCCTCCCTCTCTCTCTCCCATCTTTCTTTCTATCCTCTCTCCCGTCTTTCGCTCTGTCCTCTCTTTCTCTCTATCTCTCCCCTTTCTTTCTCTCCTCTCCCTCTCTCTCCCTCCATTCTCTCTCTCCTCTCCCTCTCTCCATTCTCTCTCTCTCTCTCTCCCTCCCTTCATTCTTTTTCTCATCTCTCAACTCTCTCCATCCCATCTTCTCTCTCTATCTTTCTCTCATTACAATAACAGAAATCTAGCACACCATGTAATCTCTTTATCTATTGTCTTTTTGTTTCCCTTATTAGATAATTACAGCGTTTACAAACACGATTACACACATAGTAAATGGGGAGCATGATGCAGCAAGTGAAGATATAAATCTCTTCAAAAATATGAGAAATCTGTTCAGTTCTTGGGACAAATTGATTAAGACTTCCAGCTCCCAATGTAAGTATACACACACGCCAGGAAGATGATTTATGTAATGAGTAGGAAAGGGTCTGTGTTGTCACTAGTAATTAAATATTTCCTTTGCTATCCTGTACTAGAGGAGCAGGTGGAATCTGACAGATTGCAACTTAGATACTTTCCTTGCATGTTATTACATCAGCAAACAGTAGAGAAGGCTTTTCCTGGTAAGCCAATAAAGGATGCCAGAGTTTATTCCACCCGGATCTCCAACGATCACCTATTTTCTGGCTGCGAAAGGTGAAAGCAGACCGAACTTTGATTTTACAAACTTGTGAAGCAGGAGGGATTTTTTTATTACAGAAGAGGCATAATATCTGGAATCCATGAAGAGTGTCATTGTCACTCACTTTAGAAATCTGTCTCCTGTCTGTGCAACAAATGGCGCAACCAGTGACACATTCATGTAACTGTCAGTAGGGATGGGCTCGATGTTCGAGTCGAGCAAGAGTTCGGCTCGAACATCAGCAGTTCATGTGTTCAGAGAACACACAAACTGTCAGGGCGTTCGGCGAGCGAATAGCCCCACAGGGCTGTGCGCTGCAGGGCACAGTACTCTGTAAGAGCCATGATTGGGCAAAGTCATGAATGAATCATGGCTCACCTGTCACATGCCGTACAACTGTAAACAGTTGGGCGGAGCTAGCTAGCTGTCACCGCTAGCTCTGCCCGATTGTTTAAATTTTGACAGCATCTGTCAGAATACCATTCTGCAGCGGGAGTTCGTCCCCCTGCCCGCAACCAACGCCCCAGGGCTTGTGGGGAAGAGGCCCTTGTCCCCATCAGCAGAGGGACAAGGTGCTTTTCAAGGGGCGACCCTCCCAGTGCCAAGGGCATGTTGCCTGCTATGGGAGGGGGGGACGACGCCAGGCCCATGCTCGGATCAAGGGTCTCGCATGGAATTTTAGGGGGAACCCCTCGTTTCCCTCCCCCCCATTTTTGGGGGTGGGGTTCCTCCTTAAAATTCCTACCAGACCTTAAGGGCCTGGTATGACTTTGAGGGGGAACCCCACGCACTTTTTTTTACATGTGGTCCCTCCTAAAATTTCTACCAGGCCTTTTTTTCTGCATAAGAACTACCTGAATTTGTTACACACATAGCAAGAAAACTGTTGCATGGCTTTCATGAAGTTGGCGCAGAACTTTCTATAGTGCCATAACACAAGAAAAGTATTGCTTTAGAATGTACATTTAGCTGTGCATGCATATCTCAGTGTACATTCTTGGCACACCTTGATGCTGGGATGAATAAACTCCCATGGGACTTATCCTGGCGTGGCCAATCAAGAAGCCTGAAGACCCTGAATCCAGAAGAAGCTGGGCAGATGTCAGAACTGGCGAGGGAGCTCACATATATCACATTGCTGGATGGAGAGTTAGAATTGGAAGGTTTATTTGCACTTTAATCACTTCCCCAGCATACAGCAACTATATTCTACACCAGGGAAATGTTTGCTGAACAGCTTGGCCTGCATTTAATGTAGAGAAAAATTAATTCAATCTAAAAAAAACAAAAACAGAATGCTATCATTACAGGTATTAGCCCCATACAGTTATCAGAATACAATATGTTTCGCTAAAGTAGACCTTTAAAAAACTGTTTTATATCTGGAGTGTCTCAGAAGGGAAAATCTCAGCAGGGAGGTATAGCAGTGTGGTTTAAAGTGACATTAAAGTCACAATTTTCTGTCCTCCCCCCTGGTGCCAGTCTCTGATCCAGTGCAGACTCCTCGTGTCCCACGGTGTCTGTCCAGTGTGCATGCTCCCGGCTGCATGCATTCACCTCCAGTGTGCTTCTTCGCTTCTCTCCGCTGAAGATCTCTACTGCGCATGCGCCTGCCCCATCATCCTGCCCGGCTGTACGAGAAGCCTCAGATCTTCAGACAAGAGCGAGCAGCGGAGACTCGGGTAAGTTTTATCCTTTTTGGTAACTTTCTTTAAATGTTTTTGCATAGATCTACTGCTTGCTAGCTGTAGATCTATGCAAAAAGAAAGGAGAGTTTAATTCTACTTTAAGGCCATTACTGGGTAGCTGGTATTTCTACTGAAAGACATGTTTTCTTACCCTCAGATATTAAATAGCTGGTCTATTTTGGGTGTAGTTAACCTTTAAAGTGAACTTGCATCGTCCATTAAAGAATGTAAATTAACATTTTGCGTTTACAAAATGTGATGCTATTACCTATATTTCTCTTTGAATTGGTTCATTTATGCTTAGGGAGGACTATAAATCCTTGGCCCGGCTGTATAGCGGCCCTTAAAAAAAAAATCAAACGTCAGAAATCTGTAGAATACCTTTCTCAGGCACAGCTCCAGGGCTGCTTAATGTTGATCTACATTTCAGAACAAAGGTGCCCACTCCTAATTCTCAGACCAAACTGTCAGACTAATGATCGACAGCCAGATTAATGTTGTCTTAATGCCGCCATTTCTCTTTGGTAAAGTGTTGACCCATACCGATGCCTGAGGGTTGTCGGATCATACCTAAACAGCCTGCCACCCTCAAGGGTCTTTGGTGGCTTAGGGGTTAGGGTCACATTGTAAAGAATCAAAATCATGTTCAAAGAAAAATATGAATAAACAAACACTTATAAATCACATTCAGATAGATATTTCAGGTGTGTGGCAATGACATTTTGGCATTGGCTTATTCCCAGAAAGCAGTTTACAAAGTATACTAGGCTAGTAGCTTTGATTCAAATGCAGAAGAGGGAAATAAGAAAAGGTTCCAAGCTTCCATTAGTATTCCCAAATGCTACAGAGCAGGGATGTTCTTATTGACTGACACAAAGCTATCTACAAAGTGGTTAGTTAATTATGAGTTGCTAATATATTCAAATTGCTTTCCAGAATCATAATGAAAGTTATGTAAGAAGCAACATCATTATGGCAGTAAATCCAAACCTGTGAATCATGGGGATAACTGCAGAGCCATCAAGCTATTTTATCTGGAGAACATAAGCGGAGACTGAGAGCCCGCCAGCCAGCTTAGTCACTGTATGCAGGATGGGCTGAAGCAATTTCTTGCAAACCTCAAGTAGAATCAATGATCCATGTGATTAGCTAGTAGTATTGTGCGGTAGTGTTTATGAACAGCTCCTGGTTCCCCGCAATTTGGATCTACATCAGTTCTTAATTGCGTTTCAGCTACAATAGCGTCAAATGGCTGCGGGTAAGCAAGCTGGATTAGTGCCCCTCCCTCACCTTGATTGTGCATGGATGTCTTCTAATACAGAAAAGTGCTAGGCTTTCTGAACAGAATATCCAGAATCCTTTACAAAAGCAAGAGTATGAAGGCGCCCTGTGAAAAAAATTCAGTTACAAGAATTAGCAGTCATATAGCATATATATAGTCATATATATAGCAGACTGTAACAATATAAAAAAAGTCACTTGATGAAATTTTTTACGTCAATACAGACAGAAGTGAATTAAATACTTATTGGAGTATTTCCACTTTGATATTTCAGTTGTGCATGAACTGAAGAAGGACAAGAATATTTATGACAATCAGTACCGTGGACGGGAGCTCTATGGGTTCATCAACTACAAGAGATTTGAGAACATCTTGGAGAAGCAGATACTGTCAATTCAGGAACCTGCCATTAAGATTCTGCATGAAATCAGCAGTAAGATTGTATTGAAACTGAGCTGGACAGTAACCAGTGTCAAGTTTATTAGGCACACTTATATCGTACCCATAAAGAGTGCATATAATCAGCCACATGGTCACAGGTATATGTGTGTCACGATCTGGGATCAGGCTCGGAGTCCAGCAGCTGAAGCAGCAAGCAATTCGTAGTATAACAGGCCGGGTTTGGTACACAAGCAGACGGTAGTAGTATAGGAGCAGGCAGAAGCGTAGTCAGAGATCAAGCCGAGGTCAGTAGCCAAAAGGTTTCCGGTATGAAGCAGAAGACGATGAGAGTAGTCGGTGAATCAGCAGCCAAAGGTCGTTACACAAGTAGCAGTATGAGCAGATTATAGCACAGAGGGAGCAGGAAGCAAGATATTGGCAGGAGCACAATGATCTGGCAAACAGGAAGTACAGAGGCATGGCTTAAATAGGAAGTTCAAGGGAGGAGCAAGGAGTTCAGAGTTCAGCAGAAACTAGGTTTACCTGAGCATTACACAGGAGATCAGACAAGGAGCTATCCCAGGTTCTAAGGTGGCTCAGCAGGTAGAACCACTGCCAGCTACAGCAGAAGCCCTGGGTTCAGATCCGGTTCCTGATACTGTGACATTCAAATGATTCTAAGTGTGTTTCATAGTGTAAAGAAAAAGCTTTTTTTTTTTTAGGGGGTTATTCACTTAAGCTGCCGAAGGCAGCCGAGTGAATAACCGAGCTGAAGCCAACTGAGCCGAATGGCATTTGGCTATTCACTTCAGCTCTGTACATCAGGCTAAAATCAGCCGTACATCGTCTGGTTTCGGTCAGCCCAACATGCCCTGCATGTTCGGCTGTGCTGAAGTGACGCCGTTCGACTCAGCCGATCCAACATCTGGCTGAGCTGAACTTCCGGAAGTCCACTTGCTGCCGTTTCTCATAGGGGCCGAACGGCAGTGAGTGAACTGAATAGCCGAGTTATTCTGCTCCCTACCTCTGAGGTGCTTCGGCAGACCTTTCTGCCCGCCTCGGCTGTGACTACGGCTCAGCCGAGCTGAAGCATAAGCATATGTGAGTAGCCCGTAAAGCAGCCCTTCGGTTCGACTGAACCGAAGGGCTCCGGCTGCCGAAGTATAAGCTGAAGCTACGGCTAGATCCTTCGGCTCCTTCGTGAATAACTCTATTAGTTTTTTAAAAGGTAGATGTGTTAGAACCGCTGTTAGGTTTTTTTTATTGCTGTCTCTGTTCCCACTGGCGAGATTCACTCTCTCTTTTGATCCTGGTGACCACTCTCACTTATACAGAAAGTGATGGGAAATCTGAATTTTTTGAGTTATTGCCAGAACAAAAAGGTGAGGGGAAATCTTCCCCTCCTCCCCCCACCCCAATAAGTTTTATTAGATTTTCCAAAGTAAACATTTTACAATAGAATCAGCAATACAAAAAAAGGATAAGATACATAAACATATCAAGCATAAAAAAAAGAAGAACAAAAGATGGGGAAAACACAAGTATGTTTAAGATATAAATATCATTACAACCAGAGAGAATGAGTAAATGCTAGAAAAGGTTTCAGATCCCTACTTAAAGTGACATTAAAGTCAGTTTTTTCCCCTCCCGCCAATGTTAGTGTGAGCACTTACCTTAAATGATGTCTCTTAATCCGATCATCTTCTTCTTTCCTGATGTTTTCATCTGTCCCTCCAGCGGTGCGGGGGCGGCTCTCCGATCCAGCGCTGACTCCTCTGTGCTTGCTAGCATTTCCGATCCCGCGGTGTCTGCATGCGGGTGCACGCGTCCATAGACTTACCTTGCGTCTCTCCTCGTCTCCCGGCCGAAAATCCGAACTGCGCATGCGCCCGCCCAAAGATGCTTTGCGGCGGCCCGAGCAGTTTCAGATTCTCGGGCGGGAGCGCGTGGCGATAACGGGGAAAGTTTAAAACGCCGTAAAAGCGTTGTTTTTTTTAAAGAAACTTTTTGCTTATATCTACTGCTTGCTAGCCATATATTTCCAAAAACACCGGAGGGTTTAGAACCCCTTTAAAGAACTATGAGGTGAGTGAAAAATCACTCATCCTCATAGTTCGAGCCCATGTGTGACAAAGAAACTGTCACACGTCGGCTCAATAGATCGGGGAAGTGAGTGAACACATACTGCCGCTCACTCACTCACTTTTTGATCATCTCCCTGCAGAGAGCGGTGACTGTCAGTCACGGCCCCCTGCAGGGATTCCCCTCTCCGATCCTCCAGCGCTGAGAAATAAGTAGACAGAGAAAGTAAATTAAATAATATGTGGATATAAAAAAGCTATTATCTTTATACATGTATGAAACTGTATATGGTCCCTTCTGGTGAGTGATGGTGTCACTTTAATGGTCACTATTTTATAATTGATTTGACTTCTCTGCCTGTTTTTTTTTTTTTTATATAGACTTGGTACAAATCTGTTGCACACTGGAAGCAGCAAAATGGTTTGAGAACTATAAAAATCTGCATGCTTCTGCTGTGGTAAGGCTGATTAATTGACATAAAGAGTAAAACATTTCAAATGCTAAAAACGGACTTGCATCGTCTATTCGACATCCGTGTGCTTAAGCCCTCATTGCCTTGTTGTGCATTTATTTTTTACAGGACAAAATTCAAGATATTTCCCACGAACTGGAGCAGCAAGCTGAAAACACAATTAAATTACAGTTCCAGATGGAGGGAATCATCTACTGTCAGGACTCTATCTACTGCAAAACTTTGTCAAAGGAGAGAACAGAGGGGGCATCTAGGGCATCTGGGAGCAGAGTGCATGAACAGGAACAAACTCAGCTGTCAATGGAGGAACTGGCCTGTCATTTACAGACCTATTTAACGGTGAGTCCCCTTGCACAATTAATATCTGCCGTAGCGCAATGTGAGAAAATAACTAACAATGCTAATAATGAGTATAGGGCATTATTCATATAGGGATTACGTATGAATGTGAAGGACGTAAGTGATAACTGATTTTCTATATATTCATTTGTTCAGTTTGAGAATGTACGCAGCTCCGGCTGATCCTTCGGCTAGCTTCGGCCGCTGGACCCCTTCAATTCAGTCGAACCGAAGGGCTGCTGTAGGGGCTATTCACTATAGCCCGTACAGCTCCCGAAGGTGGACGAGCGGCTCAGCTGAGCCGAAGGCATATGCGAACGCCTCGCATATGATCAGCGTCCCCAGGTGACGCTGAACTGTCATTAAGCAATGTGACGTCACGGCTGGCTCCGCCCAGTTGTTGTTCCTTGGCTGGGACCTGCTAGCAGGTCCTGGCCAATAGGAAACAGTTGGGCGGAGCTAGCTGTCACTGCTAGCTCCGCTCAATTGTTTCTTTTTTTTAAACAAATCTTCATTTTTTTAAATTTATAATTTATTTACATTTTTAAAAAAAACTTTTTTCACTGATTTGCTATTCTGCTCGTACCACGGAGGTACCGAGCAGAATAGCCAAGCGGAATGCCGCTCGGCGGCATTCGGCTATTCACTCACTGCCGTTCTGCCCCTATGAGATTAGGGGGCGAACGGCAGCGAGTAGCCTGCCGGAGCTTCGGCTCAGCCGGTCCAGATGTTGGATCAGCTGAGTCTAAGTCCTTCTGCACTTCTGCTCAACCGAAAGCTGACCGAAGTGCGGCTGAAGTTAGCCAATGTACGGCTGATTTCTGCCGATGTACGGCTGAAATCAGCTGTACAAGCCTGAAGTGAATAGCCGAACAGCTCACTTCACTTCGGGTTTGTTATTCACTCGGCTACCATTGGCAGCTTTGTGAATAACCCCCTATATGTTTAGGTTATTGGCTGAACATATGTATCTCATCTATAAAGTTGGTGAAGAGGGCTGGGACAACCCCTCTCATTCCTAATTACTGAGGACGTCTGTGGGGGTCACTTTGTGTAGAATATTCTAAATCAAAGTTTATGAAGTGTTTACAAACTATGAATTATATCTCTTTCTTGTAATATTTCTTGATTAGGTCATTAATATGAGAAAGCACATTGTATAATGTAGAACTATATTGGTATATGCAACATTACATGGTTTAAATGATAGTTATGAATGCATTTAACTTATAGCTGAAGTTATTAGGAAGGTGGGGGCACTCCTCCCCCCATCCCCCTCACTCCTATTAGTGGTCTTAAGAGTATCAGATCCCAGAGCTTGTCATGTTTTAATATGTTACTAAGGGGCTATGCATGGCAGATGGGCGATACATTCTCACAAAGGAAAAGGGACCGATTTTCACATTGGTAGGCACTTACACTCAGACACGATGCAGATAACTACACACAAACACAACTATATACTTAAACATTAACATAACTATTTTTAGATTTTGTTTTATGCCATTTATCGTGTAATTAAACACATTTTTTAGTTTTATGCAAGAACTGAAGCAATTTTCTCTTTTGAACTCCTTCTGCCCTATTTCTTTAAGAGAACAAGAGTATGGTATAAATAAAAATAAATCATATTCTACACGCATTCCATGGCAATTGGATTAAGGTGACCGAGTTGCCCTTGTGTTTTAAATGCTGGGGCATGTTCCTGACTCTTATTAGAGTGGAAGAAGCTGATATGATGAGCCGCATAACACTGTTAACATTAGAGAATACGTCCGTTTGAATGCAACTAACTCCTATGAGAAATAACATGACCTGGATAAATGAGAACCTTCACAAACAAACACAGGGGCACCATTCCTCCGAGTGACACAGGGGCACCATTCCTCCAAGTGACACAGGGTCACCATTCCTCCGAGTGACACAGGGGCACCATTCCTCCGAGTGACACAGGGGCACCATTCCTCCAAGTGACACAGGGGCACCATTGCTCCCACTGACACAGGGGCACCATTGCTCCCACTGACACAGGGACACTATTCCTCCCAGTGACACAAGAGGACCATTCCTAACACTGACACAGAGGCACCATTCCTCGCACTTACGCAAAGGCACCATTCCTCCCATTGATTCAGGGCAGCATTCCTAACACTGACACAAGAATGACGCAGAATCATTTATTACTCCCTCTGATGCCGGACCATTGTTTGCTCACACTATATGGCCCAAACAGTCTGGCAGGCAGTAGCATGGCTCTTTGTTTTAAAAGTTTGAAGACCTCAGTTCTATCTCTTCCTTCTCTAAAACAGGAAAATGAAAAACATTTTTCAACTTATTTAACAATGTCTTTTTTTTGTTTTTGTTTTGTAGGAAACGATGACTCGTCTGTCTAATCAGATTCCTCTCATTATTCAACATTACATTCTGAAAGAGTATGCGGGAAAACTGCACAATCAGATGATCCTTCTGATACAAAACAAGCAGAACACGCATCTCCTCGAGGAAACGCATGAACTGGCAGAACAGAGGCACACGCTAAAGAACCAAATTCAGCGCCTTAGCCAGGCCCAAAAGCGTTTAACAACATTCTCAGGAAACAGAGGACTCGGTCAATAAAATCTAACTGAATTCATGTGCCTTGTAAAAGGAAATATTAAAGTAACACTAAATCAGGAGTTAAATCTTAAAAATGCATTTACTATTAACAACAATGTATCTTATTTGTGTATCACTCGGCTGTAGATCCTCAAATCATCTCAGAATTGGTGCCGACACTGTCCTTCCTTCTGGAGGGGGGCTACTTTTGTTCCTCATGGTCCCTCATGTCTCACTACATATCAGTAAACTAAACGTGAGATTGTAGTCCATCACAGGAGTGAGCTTGGAGCGGTGACTACTTTACAACACACACACAGGGACCATGGGGAACAAAAGTAGCCCCCCTCCAGAAGGAAGGACAGTGTCGGCACCAATTCTGAGATGATTTGAGGATCTACAGCTGAGTATACACAAATAAGATACATTTTTGTTAATAGTTCAGGTACTTGAATGTATTTTTGAGATTTTAAATGATATTAAAGTCAAAAGGATTTAAAGGAGAACTATGAGATGAGTGATTTCCACTCACCTCATAGTTCTAGCCGACCTGTGACAATGACACTGTCACAGGTCGGCTCAGTAGATCGGGAGGTGAGCGAACACATACCTGGCCC